CTTGAGTCATCACCGTTAAGGTCGCCTTTTATTTTAGAGACCCAACAACCGAATTTTTTAGCTTAGCTCCACGAGAAGCAAGCCACCGAGAGATCTCTACATATAGTAGGAAAGCTAGCACACTTGGGGACGGATTTCCAGGGGACTTAGTTGGAAAGCACATAAATAGATTTTTGGGACCCCTTGGCTCCACTTTCAGGATAGGAAGAGGTGATCTATTTCCAGCTTAAAAAACCAACACTCGACTTTGAGACTAGCTCAAGAGAAAAGCGCCAGAGGACATAGAATTAATTTATTATTCAATTCAGGACGTAGGAAGTCTCTCCTTGCCTTGGGGTCAAGGTCAAGACCAAAAACTTGTAGACTGCCCTTTTAGGAATATATCTTATCTTGGAACTCGGGGTTCTTTAATTGTAAATTCAATGATAATTCTAAAAACTTTTAAAATTCAATGTCAACTGAAAAAAGAATTGAAAAAGTTCCATAAAAAGTAAAATTTTTCAAGCTCAATATCAATTAAGAAACATTTAGAAAATTTCATTGATAATTGGAATATTTAATCCAGATGTACGGCAATACATTAAATAAATGATTTCATCAAAGATCTCCTCTAACACATATTCATTTACTAGATGCAAAAGATAAAATAATAAATACGTATTACTGTACTATATATGTCGGCAAGGATTATAGGTCTTATGAAAGTGACTGAAATTTTAGGTAATATTGGGGCATCTTTAATTCATTTTGTGAATAGTCATATAGCTCGTACTAAAGTAAAAAGTCATTAATATCTAATAAATAAATATTAAATTCAAAATTGGTCGTCAATATATTTTATAAATTGTAATCTAGCTGTCTTTTGTTTTCCTAAAATAAAAACAAAATTATACCTAAACCTAAATTGAAAATATAAGTTTGAAAAATAAATATAAGTTTCATTGAGTCGCTTTATCTGATAGAGCTTCTGAATTTAGATTGAGTTCTAGACATTGTCCATTTTTCCCTATGTTATGTCAATTTGACAAAATCCTTGTTAACTTGTATTGAAGATGAATTTTTTAAACATAGTTATGTGACGATTTGATCATTCGAAAAACTCACTTGAGTCACTCAAACAAAATACGACAACCTTGAAACATAAATTGTTTTAGAAAAACCTTCGAGCCGGATGTAAAATAAAATTAATAATTTTTAATTTGAGAAACTCGAATACTATCCCTAAAACAAAATAGTACAACCTTTACAAATGAAATTTTACTCTCAATTTTTAGTGTGAATCACGGTTGTGCTACATGTTTTGGTTTACATACACATGATATGATGAAACATGATTCTATCAGAATTTTTTCAACTAAAAGGAGAAAAAAAAAGTTCTTTGCTCTCTTTTTGACACATCGTCTATATATAAATCATTATGTAAGTATATTATGTTCAAATAACACTATTCACTACATTATTGGTCTCTATTAATAGCAAATTAATCTCCAACCTTTAAAAAGGAGCAAATTAGTCTTCAACTTTCAATTACAATCTAAATTAGAAATCATCAAAATCCCATTTAAGTCATCCCTTACATATCCGACGATATGAACCTAGATTTTATTATCAAACTGGGCTAGTGCGTAAAATTTCAAAGTGAGACATGTTTCTATAAAGCTCACGTGACTATTAATTAAGATTTGGAAATTCTTTTGTTAGTTCATTCTTCCCGAAATAGAAGAATTATGGTTGAACAACTTGCTCATTTTTAAAGATTGAGTATCAATTTGCAACTCAAACAATGCTTTAAGGACTAATGTCACAATTTTCCCGTTCACTCACTCTTGAATGGTCACAATAACTAGATGACTGGAATGGAGGGGCCATAATTCTGTGTTTTCTACCCAAATTTACGGGGCTATCCAAATCTAAGTTTCTATATCTGTATTGGCCACTAGTGAGGCGGAAAGAGTAATGCTAGTCAATATCCGAATCTAAGTTTCTTCTCATTTATATTTTTAGATGAAATCATTTAGCCCTTGTTTGACACCCATTTTGGAGAAAAAATAAATTCTGGAATAGTGATTGATGGAAGAATGTGTGGTTAAAAAGTAATGAGAATATATGAGTTTATGTGTAATATTATCTTATTGATAGAATGTGTGGTTGAAATGAAGAAAGAAAGAAAAAAATGGATGTCAAACAGAGGCTTAGTGTAGTCCTCTAGTATAGAGAAATCCAAAATTCAAATTTCCCATCAATCACATGAACAATAACCTACAAATATGAGTTTGGTATGAATTTTGTCGATATAGTACTACCACACCAAGGTTGAGATGCTCTAAATGTTGAGAACCTCAAATACTGAAGTAATTTCATAACTCAAGGTCTACGAAAGAAGTGAATTTTGATTCAAGAAGTTCAACATTAAATTATTACGAAAAGTGCAACACCACTCTTAGTTTAAATTACAAACAAAATAAGGGATGAACATGGTTAACCTAATAACAAGGTGTCCTCTTCCGCCATAGTTGTGACAAATCACCGTCGACATGCAGTCCCTACTTATATAACCTACCTATT